TTATTGTCTCTGAAATCAAAGGAGTCATACAACATATTACAAGACACTGATCATCATGTGCAGCCAAGCCAATCTCTTGTCAAGAGTTCGATCGCTCCCAACCAGATAAAGGTGGTCAAATTTCAAGCACCGAACTTTCAGCCAATCAGGCTGACTTAAATATGAAAGTGCAACCCGTGCTTACTTTTCAATCATAATTTTTATAATGTATGATATATTGGGGTTTCCAATCAGGGCATTTAGCCAAGTTTAGTAAGAAGCGCAAGGCGATGTCGTCTTGTTTATTCACCACTTCCGCTTCCATCTAGTGGTGTGCTGTCGACTACGCTTTCGAAAGATGGACTACGCTGGAACCTGGAATTTCTATTTGTTGTATTAACAACTTTTACATTTCACAATATCCCGTCGTTGGCAAAGACTAATTCTATACCTTCCCGTGGTGCTGGTGTAATCGTCCAGTATGCTATGCGCATCTGGGATAGCCAAAAAGAATCGCATCCGAATCAAAGTCGAAAGTAACCTCAAGAATATCTAGAGTCGACGACTTCTCATCAATGTCGGACTTATCACTCTCACGTTAGTCCTCTACCACAATCTTACTACACCACCTCTCCTCAACTACCGATAAAGGCCACACTCCAATTGCAATCGGGAATTTGCCATATCAAACATCGGCCATCTCCCACTCTAAAATTACGATTTTATGTATATCATCGAGGAGTAAACTAAGTCATAATAGATAAACTCGGGTCTTGGTCTATGAGGGACCATTGCTACAATGTGCCTTGACATCTTGAGGAAGCACATGCAGTTACGATGTGGGACGAACGCGTGAACAGGCCACAAATAGACTTGCTGAAACTCACATTTTTTGAGTGTTTTCGGCTTTGGGTTGCTCGTAGGCGTCAAGCCTACTATTTCAGATGGTTCTACCGACACTCTAAATACAGACAATTATAGAAGGTGTTTTGGTCCGCCTCCTGGTCTTCGTCTCCCCGATTTAAAGCCTGGCTAGCCTGGACACCTACCTCACTCGAGAAAGCGAAGACTGTGAGGCCATGTCTCGCGCGGTGAATATATACAAGATGACCAAGATATGTCAGGTTAGCTAAAGGTTTTTTCTGTTTTCCCTCTGGTGGATATTTACGGTTGAGAAAAGGGGGAATGATCCTAGCATAAAGTTCTCGAGTGGTATCAGCAAATACACCCACTACATGAGTAATCCAAATTTCAAACTGAGTAATCGTCGTACATAGTCGTCGGGGAAAGACTAGCCATTTCCCTGTCGTGCTCTATGGGTACTAGTCTCAAGGATGGGGGGTTGACAGTGTTCCACGGGGTGTGTTGTATAGCCTAGTGAAGATCTAGATGGTGAATGAAGATAATAAATGGGTCAAAGGGATGACAGGTCTTCTCTAGGAAGAGATGAATGGGCAACTAGTTGCAGTAGGTGTTACACGTGGGTCTTGCTGATGAAGAACTGGGCAATGGATAAATGTTCTTCCCGAAGAAGAGATGGGTGAACAAATGTATTGTAAAGGGTAAATAAAGAAGACGTTGCGTGAGGAAAAAATCTCTCTGACGCCGAACTATTATATACAAGAGTAGAAGCCTTTGCCAACCGGAATTAATCGTAATCAATTCTTGCCAATATCTTCGCATTAATAGCTGTGTTCTTGACCTTCTCCTCATGACTCTCTTGCATATCCTTACATGACTTTTTACACAACTAATTGTATAGGGGAAGCTATTATTAAATTGATGTCTTTAATTAACTACCCCTTCATCTTATCACGAATTAAAATTAGTATTAAAATTCTAACTACGGATCCGTGAAACAGGGTTGGAGCAACGGCAAAAATCAGCCTTTGGCTGCAACGCTGAATGTTTGGAGACTGGGTTAGGACAAAATTTTTCATGATTGTTGTAATCCTGCACAACAAGACGGGATTCCTCATACAGATGTGCAGTTGTCTTGTCCTTGATTTCGCGCATCATACGTAACCCAAAAATTCGGCAACTATTTGGGATTTTATTGATGGGAGTAGGTACTAAAACACCACGGGCTAGGAGGCCATCAATCTCAGCGATATCACTGAGCTCGAATGGAACCCCAGCAGTATTGATCTTGCCATCTGTAGGAGACGGATAGCAAGTTCTCTATCGCCATGCTCTGTGTGGGTTATGAAGAGCTGCTTGAATGAAGTAGTGCCAGCCATAGCTATGGTTAATAAGTCGGTATCTGGAGTAGAATCGTTATCAGAATCACTGTCACAAATGGGCTGTTGGATACGACTGAGCTGACGAAGACGCCTAGTAATGGGCTGATCAGAATGCAATTCGGGTTCCTTGGAGTGTTGCTTAGCATTTAACTTAACTTGGCGTGTGCGGCCACCTTCATTTCTTAAGGAAATATTGATCGGTCGGGCTATTGACTGTTTTTTGTGACATATAGCCACAACATTATTAGAAATGGTAGGAGGAGTTGGCATATAAGTAGCTTGGCCACGCGGTCGAAGAAGTTCTACAGGCGGGTACTCAAATGGCTCTTAACTGGATGAGATGGCGATAGCTGTATCGAGGCTTTTGTATGACTTGACGAAATTGATGCGTAATTCAGAGCGATTGGCCCCTCACTGGACAGTGATATTGATTTCATCTGTGCTCAACACAATGTAGGGACAAGCCCATCACTTTTTAGCACCACGGTAGACAATAACTTCGCTGTAAATTTGGACAGAAAGTGGCTACATGTCGGATGTGTCCTGCGCGTTGCGAGTATTGAGTGCACGGTTGACCAGGTGGTTGGCATCGGTCTTATTTAGTCCCTTCATCGCTTTACATATTGCTTCAGCCCGCTGTATCTTTAGTGCGGATGAAGGGGAATCCATTTTTAGACGTGGCATAGCACCAAATACAAGAAAATTTGGGGCCAGAACATTCGGGCCAACACTATCATTTATACATTTGAAGGATATCTGCAATGTGGCTTCTGGGGAAATGACTGAGCCTATCTCGGCGCAGATGATGCGATAAATCGTTTGCAAGGGCTCATGATATCCCTCGACCTTACCAATTGAATGATGTGCTTCGGTGGGAACTATGAAGACACTGGTGCTCGTGAGCCGTGCCTCAGCACCAAACTCATCTGCACTGAGCTGTGTGCCTGCATCTGTGGCAAGAATGTCAGGAGGACCGAGGTATGTGTTATTCCAGCGTTCTCGAAGGCGTTCCTACGCTTCTTTGGCAGTCATGTTCTTCAGAAAACGGCCAGCTTGAAAAGCGGTTGCAGTGTCAACGGTATGTAATACTGTTTTGTTGTCCAAATTAAGAGTATCAACGATAATTTCGTGGTTGAAAGCAGTATCATCGCTGAGAGTGAATCGAAAGCGACTGGATGCGGCACCCTTCATCTAGCAGTGGTGGTAAAATTTGGCGATTATTTCAAGGTATTCAGTGTTAGCTTTCTCACTGACGCGGCTAAGAATGTTGCATATTCGTTGCATTGTTGGGTGGCCAAATTTTCGATGAAGGCGTTGTAGCTTAGGGACGGTCAGGAATAATGACGCATGTTCAAGATCTGAGATTATGAGCCACGGATGGTCCCATTTTTGCACGATAGGGATCTCCTTATAGCTTGGACTACGCTGGACGAGGAGATTGTGCGTGTTGCCAAGATTAGTGTCGGGACGATCCATATCCTTGGGGCTAAGGAGGAATGGTGTCGGAATGTGCATGACGTAGAACTTTACGGTACCAATTGGTGTGACTTTTAAAATTTCTATCTTGATATCGACCCGTAAAAACATACCGTATAATAGTAACTCATATTGATACTCGGGATTGCGATGGATAGTAGAGATTGATGGTGTTTATGGCAGTGCGGGGTCTGGTAATTAGTGACAGGGATAGGACACATGTATAAATATATCGTGCACTTGACTCCACTTTAATATGATGATGCTTCCGACTACATTCACAATACCCATACCTACTCTGGGATAATCTCCCCTTACTACATCGGCCCTATCTTCTAATTAATGCCCTTTTCGCCCTTTTATCTTAAATGACAGGTCATGTTATTTGTCGTCTTGCTGGCCATCATCAAGCTCAGAGTTATGGACAGGTTAAATCTTTAACAGTGACAGTTTCGATAGACACGAGTGATGAAATTGTATCACCATTACCGAGACAAACTTTAAATGTGTTATCTTTCTTGTTCAGTTGTAGTTCAGGATGCTCTCGCTATAGGACCTGAAACTGAGGAAATCTGGCTGTTGATATCTATGCGGCGCCGGTATCAGGCATTATTCCCTGAAAGCGTTCATTAGAATTTCGATCAAGAACATCTTGTAGGGTAGGAACAGGTGAATGGACTCAAGTAGTGGCGGTATGTAGTTTTTGAGACTATACCGCGCAGATTTGTCGATGAGAAAAGAAGTGGCACTCATAAACAAGTCGTTTTCGCTGTTCTCATCTTTATTTACATCGTCGACAGCAGTATTATGAGCTACAGTATCGGAATTCTCCTCGAGTAACCTTTCAAAACCCAGTAAAGATTGTCGGTATGACTTCATTGTTCGGCTGAAGCGGCGTGCATCATTGTATTTGCGGCGATGTTCAGTCTGCTTGTTCTGAGGATGATCACGGGCAAAGTAACCTTGCTTACCACGAATATATCATTTCTCATCGTCACTGCGCTGGAGAAGATTACTGATATGGCTTTCCTTTTAATCATTATCGCGAAATTGACGGCCGTTAGTTCTATTCTGACCACGAGGAGGGCGATTGGAATTATGCATTCGATTGTTATAATTAATGTCCGATGCGTCATTGGTCTGATGAATAACAAGGTGGCTTACAGAGGGTTACATTGCCTGGAATAATGTATTCCGTAGATCATTATATAATTGTTCATATCGCATTGTGGGTTTGAATATTTTAGGCTTTAGTTCAGCCACGTCTTGCACTGCGCGCAGTGTTGCAGCAATCAGCTGTTGTTAACTGAAGTACGAGCTACCTAGAGCCAGTTGAACAAGTTCCAAACAAGTGAGCAAGAAGTCCAAGACACCAGGAAGATCTTTCTGCAAGAATTCTTTGTCATTCTTAGCTGACTGAAAAGTGATCAAATTCCAGTCATTGTGGTAGTGAGAGTGATAAATGCCAGTATCAAAATGATTTTTCAGTACCAGATACATATTGCAAAACTTGGCAGAATTGCTAAGGGAACACAACCATTTCTGCGCCGCACGCAATAATGTCATTCGAAATACGGCATGCAGTTGCGATGGAGCTGTGTCAATTTTGGAACAAGTGAGCCGAATCTGGCGGACAGTGTCATCTAATATGTTGTACGCTGCGCCCGTGAATTTGTATTCCTTATTCCAGATTTTGCTAAACGTCTCAGTCTTTCAAGAATCCAGTGGCTGGTTATTGTCTTCTGGAAAGACCAAATGGTTAGGGTTCAGCAGGTCTAGTAGATGACTAGCAATAGGAACTTGATCAACAAACGACGAAGAAACACTGAGATATTGCGATTTCCATTGGATGCGCGGTGAATATGGGGGATATTGAGGTTCCCCTTGTGGGGTTGGGGCGGTACGTGTGTTGATAGGAGTTCGTAAAATATCATCGGTGTCGTCATGATGGGTTTGGATTGCAATGTTGTCATTGGTCTTTAAGGGCACTCGGACAGGAATTTATTGATATTTGTGTAACATGTCGAACTCTCTTCTCAATATGAATTAATAATATTTATTATTCCGTGAGCTTAGTCTAAGGTATAGAAATAACTCTATCCTTAATTACAGATCCCCGAGGCTTTAATGATCTAGCAACAACCAGCCACTAAATTTCGCAAGGTAGCATTTCCCAGCCACTTAACGTCATGTCGCCCTGCTGAGCTTAACCATATGCAATCGAATCAATTCAATTGATCTTGATGATCATACTTAGAAATTTAAACCTTCATACACACTAAGTTTAGATTTCCAACACATTATCTGTGGAATAGTGCCAGCTAAGGCTAAGTTCAATGATAGGCTATAGTGGAAGCTGATCACTTTCGACTATATTTGCAAAAAAAAAGCCACGTATTTTGCGTTTCGGACAACACAATAAACAAAATAAACACTATGACGTACCAGAATATCTTTTAGTTCAGACAAAGTGATGAAGCGTAGTGTAGGACTACCCAACGGTGTAAAGTCGTCTTCCAACCATCCATCAAAGTCCAGACGAAATTCACTCCAAATAGATTGCGAAGTGCCAAAAAACTATGCCATGTAGTTGGCAACTCGATCAAGAAATTCAGTTCGCTACGCGACGGTGGGTTCGGAAGGAAGGTGGTTGTCGAATCGGTCTTGATCATTGTGCCTGCGGCGGCTAGGATGAACCCCAATGGTTTCCCAAATCCACGCAATGTATTCTTTTGCAGCTGGCTCTTGGGCTCAATGCCATGGTGATTGCGCACAATTGGACTGATGATTTGGGGGAGGAGAGAGAGAGAGTAAAGATGCGATGCAACTTGATCGCACTACCTAAATGACGATAATTGTTAAACGCTGCAAATTATCAAATTGAAGCGATATCACTTGGTGATTGAAAGATTCGATAACTTGATGGGATGATAAACAATTAGCTTGCACAGTATTTGTGGCAGTATCGTAACTCAATGGAGATTTAGGAGAACGCGATGGAGGCGCGCCGTGCAAATGTAGTTGACTCGGCCAATTCGGCCTATGCCTCGTACAACGACGGTATAGATCTCTTGACGTTAACTTCAGCTCATTCGACTTGATCGTGATCAATTGCTCTGCTGTAGCAGTTGGATTGCAGTCCCGACTTCACGGTAAAGAAGACTCTACAAACAACTCTCTTATAATAGGTAAACCTTAGTATTTGCAGTGAGCCAGGTAGTTGGTTCACCATTGATAGTTGTTGGTTAAAGTACCAGGTTCTTGGATTCGAATCCGAAGGCAAAGGCAATTAGTAGAGTGTGTTTTTGTATCTATCTATCTATCAGAAGGTTTGTGAGTGTCGGCTATTGCCAAGAGATATACTGAGTGTACACAGACCTGCACAAACCTTTACTCAAGTTAGGATTTTCTGTGTCATTCTTGATTTAGTATTTCTTTTTAGTCTTCTTCTAAGCGACTATCGCAATACCACAGCTCTTGGCACTGGGCACTCTAATATTATTAGGATAAGACTTATGTCATGATTGAACAATGGAAAGAAATCATGTAAATAAATAAGAGCTTCGTCTACTGAAGGTGGGCTCTTCACGCTTAGTCTTCTGTCATAACTAACACATCAAGATTATCTCTAGCCGCCTCTAGTTTGTCAGATACCATCAGTTCCCTTCAGCCAAACCTCCAGTTTTTAGCAATCACTCATCTTCTTCAGTCAAATCACTAGTTTCTCTCAGTGACCTCAAGTACATCATTAGTTATATCCCCTATATATCTCTCTTCTCTATTATTATCCACTCCTACCCAAACCGCTGCTCCAATGTGACAACTCGCTATTGCCTGGTTTACAATTCTAATGTCATCCACCCCATGACAATCACATGCTTATATCTTATTCCCAACAAATTACCATTGTGTTAATGGCTGTGACACCATGTCTGTACACCATATTCCTAGTGTAGTCACAAGGGGTCCAGATATAGTTATAATAACAAGATAGATTGTTTCTATTGCTAGATGCGGACATGAACTAGATAAGAAAGGTTACCTGATACCTATATAAGCCAGGCTACGGCTATATAGTAACACCTAGCCACTTCTTCCGCGGAGGGAGTTCACGAATTTAATAGCTGGGTGCGTGTCACAAATTTCTTTGGAAAAGCACAACAAGTCTGACCGAAAGGGAATCAAGTGATTTAACTAAGTTCCCCCTTCCATATTGTTTATTTAATCTATTCTTCATTCAATACAATCTGAAATCATGAGAGTTGAAGGGAGACCGGTAAACATGTATAATTTATTCTTCAAGCGCAGGATGACAAGATCTTGGCTTTCATTTGCTTTGTCGGGTCTGTCCAGGCGCCAACACGTTGGGTAGTTTTATTTAGACTGAGCTAACAAGAACGTGAAGAGCTCACGTGTTTTTGTTTAATTAAAGTCCTAAGTTAAAGCTCCAAATCCACTATGAGTACAGAACCGGTGTTCACAGCAAGAACTACATCTAAGACATACCCAGCTTGATTCCACCGTATGAACCACCACAAAACTAGCAGCCAGCTAAAAATATGCGCCGTCGCGAACTCCTCCCAAAACCGACAAAAGAAAAATATAAATTGCAAAGAAATTAGAACTGGAAGCAATACTTCTCGCCTCGATTCCCGTTTAGTCAGGTTTAGTTTCCGGACGAGTTATGTTCGTGTTGGAAATATCGCGCAATGTAATGGGCGCAATATTCATGGAACGAAAGTAGAAGTTGACTAAAAGAGTGTCATGTTCGGATTAAAGCTAAAAGTATGGGAGATGTGCGCTACAAGTACAAGTGTAAGCGACACAGAGCCTAAGCCACACCATAAATGAGTGTGGCGCCATCTAGGCATAGAAAACCCCCAATAACCTCCTTGCGCCCACGCCATACAGCCGCTCATATGTCCAATAGGTAGCCTGAAGCGCTACCATATTACCTATTCCAACCTCTTACATACACACAAGATCGTGTCGGGGACCTAGACGAAATGAAGGGCCCATACGTCCACAACACTCCGTGTCTCCATTTCCAACAGTTCGATCTCCACTGAGAGTAGGAGATGGATTCACAGGAGAATATCCAAATAAATTAGTATCCTGCGTAAATTGTTTGAAGCTCTCGAAACACTTAGGCCCGAGTAGCTTGCGTAGGAGGGCACTATGTGACAACGACCCTCTAATTCGACGCGTAATGGTTGCGTTGAGTCGACAATGTATGAAGTGGGTAGGGGTGGTTTCCTCCCCACAGATGCACTCTGTAATAGCGTGCGGATTGTTGAAGCGACGATGGTACGCCGCGAAATTGCCGTGGCCCGTACGGGCTGCAATGAGATGTCGTAACTGTAGCCTGGAAAGCCCCAGTTCTGGTGGTTTGCGACGCCACATGAGCAGATCTAGCTCACGATACCGTAACGGGCAAGTTTCATTCCACCAGCTGTCGAGCAAATTCTTTCGCTGTCGATGCAATTTTTGGTGTAAAAATGCTGTCGGAGTGTTCGCAAGCTCAGTTTCCACGCTGGGAAGCGTCCGTAGGGCGGATTTTGCCGCTACGTCTGCTTCCTCATTTCCATGTATTCTCGAGTGTCCTGGTACCCAATTTATTTTTTATTGGAATATTATCGTGTAATTGATGATACTAGAATGATATGAACAATGAATCCCGATAGTATTCAATTGATCGCTTGCTTATTATTGTTGTTACTTCTATCTGAACATAAAGATATCGCTATATCATATAAAAGTCTCTTGTGCTAGCCTTTATCCCACATGACTACGCCAGTACTTCTTGATCGTAAACTGAGACTCATTGACTCATTTACATCTTCCGTTGCCTACGTATCACTAGACCCTAGGCTCACAACTATGACACAATGCTAAGTATATATGATACCCCTTGGTTGCGGCTTCCTGACCCGGATGCTTCACCCAAGCATATATGACTCTGCCTCAAACTCGTCATGCGTGGTGGTTTGACGCCCCTGCCAAGATATCTATCATAGACCTTGTATCTGTCGTGCATAGACATTTACAAGTCATGCTCACGATATTCACAACATTTTTACCTGAGCTAGTCCAGATAGTTCGCGAAATTTTCGTACTTCCTCGTGGCTGGTCGAGGACCTGCCAGTGCTTAATGCATTTATCGCATGTCGACTATCCATCAACATATTAATGCACTGCGTCGTTCCCTCTGTCAGGTACTCCTCCCCTCTTAGATGACCCAACGCTGCTTTAGGAGCTTTCTGTGCCCCCATAATCTCTGCATCTAAATCCTCTCCACCGTGCTTTATGCCAATTCCTTTTAGAAAAGTTTACCCATCCAGCTTTAGAACGAACCCCCAAGCTGAGTGTCCGTTTCCTTCTGATGATCCGTCCGAGTACGCACGGTTTTCTGACTTTGGCACATTAGTGATCCAAAGTTTACAGGCTTCTACTTGGTCTTTTCTCGAACCAACCTTCGAACTCGGCTGCGATTGATAAAATGGTGAGGCAAGAGGTTCCGTGGCCTCTGCTTCTGGTAGCTATCTATAAGCACGCTGAACCCGTGACATCTGAATTTCAGGACGCGTAGATTTTCGATTGTGCTTCTTACATTTCCGCGTACCGACATTTGGGCAAACTGGAGCACGGATCCTAAGCGGATGGCGGTCGTCAAGTGTTTGCATTCTAGCAGAGAGGCGAAGTCAGTTTCCTTCGAGTATGATTTTCCCGGTTGGAATTCCACATTCTCTATGAAGTACGGCGTTGGGGGTTGTCCTCATTACCGGTAGTGCTGATCTAAGACCCATTAAGATAGCCTTATCAATCATACTACATAGACCAGCAGTGGGCGGTGTCACCATCCCTCGTACTGTTGGGCGTCTAAGGCCAGGCCACCAGACGTCAGCTCCGTACGTTGCGATTGGGACGATACATGTGTCGATCGCTTTAACCAACGCCCCAGGAGCGGCTCCTCGGTAGGCTGTATTGAAGCGACGCATGTGCTGTGCAATTTTCAACGCTTTGCCACACCAAGTTATGACGTGGTGTTTGAAGTTTAGTCGAGGATCGAGGTATACACCAAGCCAGCGGACATTTTGCGACGGTTCTATGAGGCTTTCGTTGACATAAATTCCAATCGATGTTTCGCGGTATCGTCCAGAGAATTGTACGACTTCGGACTTGTCTGTATCGAAAGCGACGGCATTATTTCGAGCCCAGTCTAGTAGATAATTGACCTCGCCCTATGCTGCGGCTACGGACTCTGCAATCGTCCGGTCAAACTCAAGAATACCGATATTATAGGGGTAGCTAAACCTCAGACCTGGGGTTCCAGCTCGCATGGGCTCTGCTGTATACAGAAGGAAGAGGAGTGGCGAGATCGGTGAGCCCTGCGGAACTCCGCACACTAGCTCTCTCTTGGCAGTGACTCCCCCAGAGTATCGCACTTGAACCATACGATTGGCGAGGAAGGAGCTAGTTCATTTGAGAATAGACTCCGGCCATCCCTGCTCCTACATCCTCCTCACTAATCGATTATGGAGTACCGCGTCGAATGCTCCTTCAACGTCCAACGTTACAAAAGTAGCTGCCCATCCTTGTGAATTTGCCTCTTCGATGTCGTGGACCACACATGAGACCAGATCCGTTGCTGAGCGCTTCGGCAGTGTACCCA